AGGTAGAACTGAAAGAACTAAAATATCTGAAAAAAAATAAAATAAATTAGTGAAAAACGAAATATGAAACAGAAACAAAATAAAAAATAAAAAAATGAGTAAGAAACGAAATGTAAAGTGAAAAACAACTGAACCTTACTGGAAGAACTAAAGGACCTAAAATGATGAAATAGAATTAAATATGTGAATTATATAAATTATATAAATTTATTAGTCTAACCTTACCATATTGTAAATATTTATTATCAAAATACTAAGAAGTTTTATCCCCGGCGCAGCGCGACGGGTTACACCTAGTTATATATAAATCAAGTAATGTTTCACAGCAAAAAAACCGGCAAAAAATTTTGTTGATCAATCAAAAATTTTTATTATTGATCTTATTTTAATGAACGAATGATAATCCGCAGATTGACGGTTAATTTAATGATTACTTGATAATCCGTCAGTTATAAATTATCCGGCTGATTAGTGATTACCTGTTTAAACGTGATAAAGATCAGCATTGTCTTTAGAAGGCATACGGTTATTACGAGGTGAATAATTTTATATAGTTTACGCGTGATTACTGTGTTACGGTATACTTTTAACTATATCATAGACATTTATAAAATTATTAAAATTATTATATATATATACATTTTTTTTATGACGATACTAATATAAATTTGCGTCACAATTTAAAATGAAGTCGTTTAAAAATCATTAAAATCATTACATCATCTACATCATTTACATCATTTACATCATATAATTCATATATATAGGAACGGTTTTATTAATGTAGAAGATTCATTCAGGACCCCAAGCAATACTGTATATTGCTTAATCACATTCTGTTTTAGCCACAGTTAGAGATTGGATTTACGTAAAATTAATGATATTTTTTGCTAATATCATGTTAGAATTTTTAAAAAGTCATATAATTGGGATTGTCTAATAATGCATTAATATATAACATCTAACGTAGTGATGATAATATGCAAAAGTTAATAGGGCATGAAAAAAATTACTGTGTTGATCTGAAGTCATATGATTGCTTATTTTATGAAAGTCACATGTTGAATTTGCATAAAGATCTTACGTAGGGCTACCGAAAAAAAAAAACTCTTTCCACAATTTTTCAAAATTTATAAAATGGCGCGGTAGAAATTTTAAAACTTCTAGTACCAACTACCCAAGTGCGGACAAAAGAGTTTTACTCTTATTTCTGACCATATTTTTAAAATTTTTAATATATAAATATTAACCGTACTTTTATTATATACAAAACTTTCATTATTATGTCCTTTTCAAAACCTATCACTTTTCCTCCTTCGAAAAATCCTCTGCTCGTATCCCTGAAAACATTTCACTCTGGAAGATCTACGAAATTAGACGTTCAAGAAGTTTCTTCATTGAGTTAGCAGATCGTAATACAAACACCACTTAAAGATACACACACATGAACACTTCACCTATTCGTTATAAATCAACAAGCAAATACTCCAATCACAAATACCAAATTAGTACCAGACTCTCACTTTTTTTCTTTACAAAAAGTTTTACCACGACGTACCCAACAAAAATATTTCAACCTAACACGCTCAAAATTATTGGACCGTATCATCTCACATGCAGTCAGCGATTCAAATAGAAATATATCAACGTGAATTTTTTTTTAATTTCTCTTACAATTGTTATCGATTTTATTTCGGAATTTATGTTCCTTGCAACACTTATATGATATCCACCCCAAGCCCATTTATAATGTCACATGATAGACGTGCTTGCGTTAAACATCAAAAACATTTTTTCAAGTATCGTATATTTAAAGATATCAAAGTTACTTCGACTACATAATCACATCCGAACAACAAGATTTTTCATGCAAACAAATTGTTCAATACTTGGCGCTCACATACTGAAAAACGAATTTATTCGCGACGCTTGGGCGTGGAATATAGTGTCAAATATCAAGCGAATGGTCATTAAAATGTATTCACTCATGGCAACCGGTTTATGTATAGGAAGAAATTTATCAATTTTAAACATATTTATAGTAATAATGCACGTACTCGACGCAAACAATACCAAAGATTCCAACGCCAGTGTAAAAGAATTTTTAAACTCGGGGAACCCTAACGCACCTGATACTCTTGAAGATAAATTAATCATGGCGAAGATGCATCGTTTCCTTTTCCTTGAATCACAATATATAGATAAACCCATTAAACATCTGAAATATTCCAAAAAGACTAGTTACCGGATGCTCAGGATTATCAATACCTGGTTCCTATTTTTTCTTTTAGCATACAGGCGCGTAAACGCATTCAATATAGCTACACCTGAGGCTTCTACCACTACACCTGCTTCTACATCTGAGATAATTGCTATTGTCTTTAATCCTAATGAGAATATGAGACCGGATCTTCTTCACCGATTCACACAGTTGAGTATTTTTGTACCAAACCGTCTTCGTCCTTACATTCCATCACAACCTATTTACTCACCCGAAGATGCAATATATTACGCTCCCAGTTCTACTGGTTGGTTCAAATATCTTGAAAAAAAAGTAAAATCTGCAGCGAAAGCTGCCATTAATCAGCAAGAACGTAAAGCAGATCTAATCAAACAAATCGAATAAGAAAACAAATACAAACGTAAAGCAGCATATCATGGGACGAGAGCGTTAAAAAACTCAACCGACGACAAGCCATGGCAAATGATTTAACAACATATCAAGAATCATATCATCAACATATGTCTTTCTTCTTAAAATGACGAGAGGTCGTTAAGAAAAATTTAAAAAAAAACTGAAGTAGTTATGTAGATTTGTATTTAATATTAGACTAACAATTTAATTTTTGTATAATACTGAACATACAGTAATTTATATTTACAATATTTACAATACAATAATGTGAGGTATATTTACAATATGATTAAACAATAACTTAATACAAATATTATAATATTAAACAAATGTTGCAGTATTATAGAATTTATGGTTTATTTATATGTTTACAGACTCATCACTATCAATCCTGAATAATTAATTGTTACAAAAAAAAAAAATTTCTCATCACCAAGAATAACATCATACGAATGTATTATTACAGAGATTATATCATAGTAATCTACTTAAAAAAAATTTATGTCAAAAAAAAATTTCCATTATCAAATCTATTGTTACAATATTCTTATCACCAAAGCCTATTGTTATTACTAAAAGAATCGATAGAACTATTATTTAATAGTATTAGAATGACGCCAGTTACCAGGAAGCAAAAAAAAGTAAGGGAAGTAACTATTACTAATTAATATTTTAATGAAAAAAAAAATCTGACTTGTTGTTAAAAAAATTTTTAAAAAAAAAAAAATAATAAAATAACTAAATGACCTATTAAGAAAATAAAAAACAGTTACTAAATGCAAAAAAAAAATAAAAAAATAAAAAAATTACTAAACGAAAGAAAGGATCTATTGTTACAAAAAAAAAAAAATCTTGATTACGGTTAAAAAAAAATAAAAATAAAAAAAATTACTAATCGTAAAAAGAAGAGCGATATTGTTTTTAAAAATTTTACAATTTATTAACTTAATAAGTTTAATTGTCTATTACTTATTAACAGTTAATATTAGCAAAACTTCAATTACCAGAAACTAAAAAATAATTTAAAATATTTTTATTAGTAATCAACACGGATTTGCATATTACACAATTCAAATTATTTATATACGGTAATCTAAAACATAACCAAATTTTTTATGTTGGCCAGAATATTATTTCTTGTTTTAGTAACTGGCTGACACTATCATAGTTCCGGCCCTGAAACAATTGCGTATAGCCAATAGTAATTTTTTTTTGGCTGGACCTATCCTATTTTAATATTTTCGTGGCTAATGTATCTATTAATATTTTTTCTGTAAGGTCATTGTCTTCATATATCAAAGTAGTACAATTACAATTTTCTTTATATTGTTTCATTAGGACAAAAAAACTGAATTAATTTCGAAACATTCTATTAAATCACATGTTATAAATTGTTAATGCTTGAAGGACATTTTTAATTTTTGAAATTTCGTTCACATATGTATTTACTATTTTGTCGTAAACTTATGAATATTTATCAAAATGAAATTGTTCAATCAAGATTATTATCAACCTTAAATTACATCACTTTACCGTCAACTCATCTAATAACAATTTATTCTATTTGATTTCAAATTATAATTTTAAATTTCTTGTTAATTCTTGTTTCGCACTTTGATTTTTATACACTGAGTGGTTTAAATATTTTGACAGTCCTTCTTTAATTTTATGACTTTTATATTTATCATAATTTGTTTTATGACCGTAAAACCTGATGTTATTTTCACTAATCACAGTCAAAGTTCGTTACAGCGAAGCTCGTTATAGTTATAATAAACTTTTTTTATTTTCCCAGTTCACCTTATATTAATTTTACTCATTATAGTAAACTTACTAATAAAATCTCGATATTATATATCAGATATAGTGAACTTTTTAATAATTTTACTATATACCACGTAAATCATTAGATACATCGTTCACGATTCACTTTTAAACAACAAATTGGAGTTGATGCTTCACCTCATTGTTGATGACTGAATGACAACAATGAAATTATTTGTATAAGGAATTAAATTTACAAAATCATGTTATAAAATACTAATAGTATTCAGTTATTTTCAGATAAAGAAATTATAGGTATAATAATTACAAATCCTGAAAATGACAATACAAAAGAGAATGAAAATTTAGAAATAAAATTATTATTAATAAAGAAGCTTCGAGGAATTTAGAAAATTAATTCATTGTTTTAATGATATAGAATTGGGAAATTTTAGGTAGTGTTCTGATCCGTAATCCGGATTGAATTCGGATATCCGCATCCTACATTTTTAGGCGGATGGATCCGTTAGTGAATCCGGATGGTAATCCTAGGATGCCAATCTGGATTATATATATATATATATATATATATATATATATATATTTTCAGTTTTTCGCCATTTCGAAAATTTTCTCATAAACCATATGTATTAACAAGTCCCCAACCATTAAAATTCGGATTAGGATAAATCCGGATAGATCCAAAATTAAGGATGAATCCTTAAAATCGGATGGGATTAATCCGGATGGATCCTAAATAAAGGATGAATCCGTTGAACCGGATTATAATCCGGATGGGCTGTCAAGATCCGGATTGAATCCGGATGACTCTTTAAGAATAGGATCGGAACTCTAATTTTAGGGCTTTAAACTCAAAATATTTTGGTTAAAAGAAACTTTTTGTTTTGTATTAATATAAAGTTCATTATTAAGAAATCTTTCGTTTTTGTGAATATTCGTTATAGTGAACAAAAATGGCTAGAACCAAAGGTTCACTATGACGAGCTTTGACCGTATATAATTAATTAAAACATTTGAATTATTCTTTATGATTAAACGGACCTCAAAAATATTATGTATTAGCAACTGTGATGCATATTAATGGTACATTAATAAAATTTTCTTATCATCAAATTTTGGATTATTGTGCATTCTTATAATTTAAAAAACGATTAGAATAGGCGATTTTTTTAATTGTGCTACACGAGCTAAATTTACTTTAATTTGTTAACAATTATTCTTTAAGTGAATCTTGGGTAATAGCTTTTAAGATTATTATTTGTTTAAAAAATTACGTAAGCTTTTCATTTTATAAACTAATGCACACTAGCAAGTTGTAAATATCAATAGGTTTTTAAAGTACCATTGATGGAGGAAACTAAATATGACATTATGGAGTTAGTCAAGTAAATTCACCAATTTATCTTCATGCTTAAGACGAAATTTTGCTTTTTATCAGTTAATGATGTTTTCAAATCCCAGATCGATCCTGGATTTCCAGTTTCAGTTTTCAGTTAAATTTATTTAAGCTCTTGCGGATATTTATTATTACTTTTTAAAGAACAACAGACTGAATGTTTCATCACTTACTAATAATCAGATTCATAAATAGTTTATATCAATAAATGAATTAATTAAAATATCAAAAAATGCCTCTATTTTAGTTGCCTCAGTCTACTCCTATTGATATTTAATGTTGTGTGAAATTTGATAAATCATTATTACTTTAGCGGGTTAGATGGAGCTTTAAGTAATTCAGTTTTTAGATAAAAAAGGATCGCATTAATACTGATTTATTTATTTTTATTTTTATTTTTACTTATGAAAGACAGATACATTAGTGAGATACGAGAGTACAATGTATTTTTACAAAAAAGACACCTATCGCATTTATACTGATCATCTTTTATAACCATTTCTTTTATACATACAATTATTCCATAAGGTACTACTGCAGTATTGAAAAATAAGTATCAATTATTTTTAAGTTCAATTAAGTTTTCAAAAGGAAAAAAGAAATAAATAATTTCAAATCTTCATGAATTTTATAAAAAAGAAATATATATATATATAGTTAATAATAAAAAAAAAATACCTTTTATAAGAATAATTGAAATATAATAAATAAAAGTCTTATTAAAATTAAATAATCAGAGTACTGTATTTACTATTTTGTTAATTAAAAAAAAAAATAATGTAGCAAATTTAATTTTTACATTTTATAATTTAATAAAGATAGAATTTATTACAAATTATTGGTATTGAAGTAAATTTAATCTATAATGTGCTTTTTGATATCCTTGTTGCGCAGATTTCTTATACCAATAAATTGCTTTGTTTAAATCTTTTGTAATTTCTTTCCCATTTTCATACATAACACCAAGATTATATTGTGCTACCATATTTTCTAAATCCGCTGATTTTTGATATAATTCAAATGCTTTTTGCATATCAATTTCAATTCCAATACCAATTTCATAACAATATCCTAACATTACTATTCCATTTGAATATTCTCCTGTAGCTGATTGTCTAAATAATTCAAAAGCTTTATTATAATCTTTTTCAACACCCTTTCCATTTTTATAACAATAACCAAGAATATATGTAGCCATTTTGTTCCCATTATTTGCAGATTTTTCATAATAATGAAAAGCCTTTTTTAAATCTTTTTTAATACCTATTCCATTTTCATAAAAATAACCAATTCTATATTGTCCATGTGCAAAATTTTTATTAGCAAGTTTTTCTAAATAATCAAAAGCTAATTTTTCATTTTTTGTAATTCCATTTCCACATTGATAACATTCACCAGCAAAAGTTTGTGCTAAAAAATGATGTTTTTCTGATGCACTGATAAATAAATTAAATGCTTTCTTATTATTTTTACTTGTTCCAATTCCAAAGCGATTTAAATATCCAAGTAAAAAAATGGAATTTGAATTATTTTGATTATTTAATAACCAATTATAAATTTCTTTTGAATTAGTATTATAATTATTAAAATGGTCAATAAATTTTTTTTTTAATAATTTAGGTTCAATTCCAATTCCTTCATTAAATGATTTAAAAATTAAATCATTTATTTCATCAACTATTATGTCAAAACCTTTTTCAAATGAAAGTTTCTCTCTTTCTTTTGATACTGTTATAGGATTAATCTCTTTTATATTTATTTTGTCAAAAATTTGAGATAATTTTCCTTGTAATTCTGAAATATTGGTAGT